TTCTGATGGCATTTTAGCTAAAGGATTTTTTTCAAAAACATATTTAATGTGCAGAAATAAGGAAAAGTTGTATTAACCCTACATGTAAACATAATTATAAGGGGATAAAAATGAATCTAATAACAGTTATACATAACTGAGTGAAGTTTTGAATATAGAAGGGATAAAACAGCTCTCATTGCATTTCGTTTCCTCTTTGTATCTGTAAGATGTGCAAAAAACAGCTGTAATAGATACTGATGTATTATTTATTGAGAATTATAGAAATGTTATTTCAAATTTGTTCAATAAAGTTTCTTGGGGTCTTTAAGAAGATGTTGGTTTATTTTCCAAGGTATTAATCAGTTAAATAATGTATGCTAGGGAAATGGATAATTTTGTATTTCTATTTTTTCTCCTAACAAAATTTTATGAAGTCAAGAAATAATTTGAAGTTAAAAAAAAAATGAATTCAAAGCCTGAAAGAAGAATTGGCTTTTCGGTCTGTTTCACTAATGGTGAGAGGACCCTAGTTTTTCTGTTCTGTAGTTTACTGTGGTATTTGTGGCCAAGGATTGTGATCTCATAAAACAGTTTCTTTATTGTGACCTTCGTGGTACAACAAAGGATTTAAGTCAGTTTAGGTGCTTAAAGGAAGGTTTAAAGAGCAAGGTCCCGCCTCCTCAAATCCAATCCAACCCTCATCAGTCAGATGCTAACATTTATAAACTTCTGACCTCTTATAAAAGCACAGGAAAGTTCATTTATCACTTGTGAAAAAAGCTGGGATATAAAACCTTGGTTGCTAACACTGACTTCATTTGTCTGCTGATTCTTTCTCAATGTTCTGACCTATTCCTCTCTCTTTGCTGACATTTTACCTTGAAGTCGTCACGTGAGCACATTTAGCTTGACCTCTTTCAGTTTTCAATATGTGAAATAGTGGAAATAATAAATTATTCTGATTTATAAGGTCCCTTTGATATGACTCAGTGTTGCGACTGGACCAAGATCTAGAGCAGGGGTAACCAATTAAAACTCAGCAGGGTCCGAATAAAGAAAATAATCAACCAGTAAAGGTCTGGAGACATTTTTAATTATAATCTGTTACTTTAAACTGAATTTAACATTGAAATAAAATGAGGTTTTTATGCATCAATGTTATACATTAAAAAAAATATATATATTATTTTATATTTTATAACCCTTTGTTTTTTTTTTCCTTCTTTTTTCTGTCTTAATGAGAGCAGTGGGCCTTATGCTGCCATGCAAGGCTTTAAACCTGGGTTTTAATGGAGACTAAGCCATTCTAAAGCACATATCAAGGTGCTCATTTTGAGCCTGGATCCAGATTTATTTCTGATCAAGGTCAAATCAGCAGTAAGTTGAGCCAAACATCCTCTAATGTTCAGGGTGATCTTTGAGCACCATTTCACTTTTCTTTCACCAGTTCACCGCAGTTCTTCCAGCAGTCCACACTTTCTCTGCTCTCTTTTTCTCATCATCTTCTCCTTCTTTCCCATCGCCCGGCTTGCCGCAGGTTTGCCTGCTGTGTCTAACAGTAGCAGCAGCAGCAACCCAGACTGACAGTAGCTCATTGGATAATTTCTATAATGTGCAACCTGGTGGTGGACGCTGCGGAGGGCTTTACCGTATTAACAGGAGAAGCGGGGCACGTTAAATTAGACACTGTCATCGGACAACATGCGGTAATTTATAAATGTTTTAAATCAGGTTGGGTCTGGATTAGCCAGCAGGTGGGTCCGGATCCAGAACGCGGTCCGCTAATCCGTGACCTCTGCTATAGAGTCTTATTGGAGCTGATGTCTGTTATCTAAATGGATTCTCACCATTGTTTCCACCATGTTGGTCTTGTTGTTCCTCAGGGTCTTGACTGTGTGGAAAACATCCACAATGTTCTGCTGCTGGATCATCTCGTTGATGCTACAGATGGCGCAAAATGTTCCAGAACGCCCTCCTCCAGTGCTGCAGAGGAGAAGGAATCAGGAAATTAGAAATGAGACCGAAGCTCCTTTTCATCAAAACTCAGAATACAACCAAAAAAGTTGGAGCTTTTCTGGAAGTCCTCAGCTGGAAATTAAAAGTTTTCTATTCATTCCTTATTGTCAAACCTTATGTGATAATACAAGTTTAGAACTTTGCAGTAGTAGGAATCATATATTTATTAGTACGAATCTACAACCATCTGATGAAGCTATTGTACTCCCTACCAGTTGGTGGCAGTAGTGCACCTGCAGGTTGTTTTGTTTATCAAGAAGAAAAGGAAAACAGAACCTTTGATGCTGCGTTGAAAACATTTTAGCAAAGCGAAAACGTTTGTCTGATGATTCTGTTTTTCATCTTTTCGTTTAACGCTGGCAAACAACCTTCAGGATAACCATGTTTAGTATACTTAATATTATAAGCGTTCTGATGGCATTTTGGCGAAAGGATTTCTATCAAAAACATAATTAATATGCACAAATAAGGAATAGTTGTATTAAACATACATGTAAACAGTTCTCTTAGTTCATTCTACTGAAAACGCTCCATTCCAACCCCTCTCCCGTCACCTGTGGCATCCCAAAGGGCTCAGTTCTGGGACCGCTCCTTTTTTATTATTTATCACCTCCTCCGTTGGTTCCATCTTCACTTCCACTGCTATGCAGATGATACCCATCTCTATCTTTATGAAAGCATCCTCAACATTATACCCCTCTCATCTCTCCCCCTGCCTCTTTGCTGTTCTTTTTTTATGATCTTGTGCAGTGATTCTTAAAGGCATTTTTAAATAAAATGCACCATTATTATATGTTATCTTTTTGTTATGCAGTATATGTCAGTTTTTTTTTTTTTTCTATATCTGATTTTGAAAGCATCACCTCCTCAGACAGTTGTTGCTTTGAGACCAGATTTAAGATGCTTAGGTTTTCTATTTCTTTCTTTGGCCTCCAAATTTACATAAATGTGATGGAGGACAATACAATGTAAGATGCATTTAATATGAGGGCTGTCAGATATACCTTTGGGCTAAAAGACATTAATATGACAAAAGTAGTTAGTGAGGCAAAGATGGCAGGAAAGCTGATGTGATTTAAAACAGGTCAGGACTCCAGTGGCTGCTTGGGTCAGAGTAGCTGAATAACTTTCCTCGTTTAATGAGAGTATGAGGAAAGTCCAGTAATTTTTGCCTGTATAGATTTAAAGTTGCTGAACTAAAGATCTACAGTAATTAAAGGCGCGCAGAATGTTATCTGCAAGGCGTTCCTTGGGTTTGGATTGTTATTTAGGCCTGTCATTAGCTCCCAGACATAAGAACTTATGAATATTACTGTTTCTTTACTAATGTTGACTGTTGGTTTTTGGATGCGCCAAATGGTCCTTAGCAAAACAAACAAAGGTCCTGAACCAGAATCTCTGATTAATGCTTAAAAGAAACCAAAGCAAATCACTGAACTGAGTGGATGTAGATCCAAATGTAGTACATAAAAAAGATTAATACACATTTTCAAGTTTGGGCGTATTTTCTAACATCCATGTCCTCAGTTTACAATTGGTTATCTTTATATTAAAAAAAAAATAACTTCATCCTGTGTTAAAATCTTTAAATAAGGTATCAGACTCAGAGTAGGTCCATGACTACTTTTATTCAACAAGTAACATTAACGGACGACTCACCCCCCAAATTTTAAATGTTTTATTGAAAAACTATAAACTGATGTAAGTTTTAGTGCTGTCTACAGCTCCCTGGCTTTGTATTAACAATTTACAACCACTTTGCTGCAATCCCCGTTTTTGTGTCTGAAAGTGCCTGTCTGGCGCCCTCTTTGGGTTAAAATGGGTCACTACAGCAAATCTTTGCTATTGGCTTAGTCTAGGATGTGACATCATCATGAGAGAACCGCTCCTCTTCACCTGCCGGGATTCACTCATGCAACAAAAATAATGTAAATAAATAAATGTTTTATGTCTGATTTGAAGCTTATTTTATAGTTCATGAAAATGTATAAACCTTATTTTCAATTTAAAAACCTGCCATTTTATCGCTCCGCCAGCCATCTTTGTGTCACTCATCCACATTCTTATAAAATAGATTTTGGTCCATTACTGTTGCAAGCAAAAAACATATTTGGTCAATTAAAATTTGAAAAAAAAAAAATTAATTATTCAAATATGAAACTTTGCAAAGTGTTTTAATCAAAAAAGGTTTTGAGAGAAAATTTTTTTATTTTCTCAGATTTTCTTTCAATCGATTCTTTTTTTAAAGTTTATTTTTCCTATTCAATTGATGGGAAAGCAAATCCAAATTTTGTTTCAAATATTTTATATCTGTGAAGTGTTTTGTTTAAGTTTATTTTATTTTATTTTTTACAAATTTTCAAAATTTGTTCAATCTTATTTTGTAGTTTGATGAATTGCTCTCTTTTCAAATTGCTTTTCAAGGATCACATTCTCTTCACTTCAGCAAACTTTTAAAAGAGAAATCTGAGGAAAAAAAGTGAAAAAAAGATTGTAAAAACAAAATTGTATATAAAATATAAATTATATATAACACCTACAAATTTTTTTCTTTTGAAAAAGAAATTGAAAAGAAAAATGTAAAAATAAAAATAATCTGACAAAAACAGCAAAGTTTTTATTTCTAAACTCTTTTTATTTCAAATGATTTTCAAAATGTCATCTCTGGATTGCATTTTTTTTTTAATTTTATTTCAATTTACAAAGCACGTTCTTTGCTTGGAATGGTAATGGAACAACATTCCCTCCGAAAAAAGATGGTTCCTATAATCTGCAAGTTTTGTAAGCATTTTCTCATACTCTGAGTGTGTGTTTCCCAAAATGCAATCCCAAAGTGCAATATGCTGGTGAAGGTTTTACTGGGAAAAAAGTATTTAACTATTTACCCCATTTAAATAAATGGAGATTGAAGGATTTCACTGGTTTCTACTTTTACTTTTATACTTTAAGTAAATTTACAAGCCTGTACTTTGTTACTTTTACTTGAGTAAAGAAGTTTAATCAGTACTTCCA